CCCCAAAACCCCAAAACCCCAAAACCCCATGGCCTGTTATATTAATATTCAGACAATTAATAAATCATAAATATATTCATAAAATTGTGTATCATCAAATGCCATTGCCTCACTGTAGTGATTCCAAAAATCTTCTTTTATTCTGTTGTTCAGCCAGTTTCTTAACAGATTATTAATTCTCTATCATCTACTTCCTCCTCTCCTACTAAATATTCCACTGTTGCAGCTCATAGTCTTTGTCCTCCTTTTCATGCTACTTTTGATACTTGTCATTTTCAACCAACTCTTTTTATAGTTTAGATATCTGATCCCTCATCTGTGATCTCTAATTCCATTATATATCTTTGTTTATCTAATGTCTCATGGTCCTTTCCTAGAAATCTTTGACCATTCCCTTTATCTTGACTTCTTATTCCTACAAATCTAACCTCTTAGTCTCTTACTCTAGCTTTTGATTTTACTTGTTCTCAAGGTTCTAAATCATTTCCTTTGACTTCAACTCTTACTTCCTAGCTAGTTCAAATGCTTTATGCGGCTATCGATTGTAAAACTGATCAAATATTGTACCTTAAGCTTCTAGATTAGCTTTAGGCTTATTCGTCTTGGCGAATCCAATTGACTTTATGAAATTTTGATCATGATTCAGTTCGTTCATGCGTTCAGAGGATAGCTTATGCTGTGAAAGCAGCATCTAATGTTTAATGTATTCTTAATTAGAGACCTTTTCACCTCTTTAATGCATTTACTGAATCCTCTCATCGAATAAATCTCTGATGTTCCTGGCAATTAACTGTTAGTCCTCCTAATTCTCAGAGTTACGGTCTTTCTAAAGACTTCTCATGTGATCTTAATGCTACCTACGAAGTCCCTAAGCTGATTGTATCATTTAGCGTCGCTTCTTTAATGCTTATAGTTTTTCCTGTTTTGACTGCATGCTACCTTCAAATTTCTTAAATTCAGCAAATTTCTTGTCATCACTTTGGTCATCTTAAAGCTTTCTCAACTATTGATTCATCTGATAGCCATAGAACCCCTTCATTTATTATCGATGCTATTCAAGGATGGCTCCTTTAAGGTTTTAATGTATACTGAAATCAGCAAAATGAAGACTTGTTTACTTTGGAGTTGCTTCTCTATAACTCTATCCAGGATCATCAAGTCCTTAAAACCCCTCTTTATATGTGGTACTTAAAGTGTTCTTCTAATTTTGAGTTTAAAAAAGCCCTCTTTATGAAAATGGGCCTGCATCTTAACTCTAATTTGATCTTAGAATGCCTCTTCCAGTTAAGCTTTTTTTCTCACTCTGGGATCCACCCCCGAATGCTTTGGTATTCTTGAGATAATGATTATGTTAGTCCACTTCAATGCTGTTCTATTTAATAACATTAACTTCACTAGTGATAATGCTCAGTATTCTGGCTTCAAGGTCTACAATACCCTTTCCATTCAGAACTTGCTGTCTATCGTATGCCTGATCAACTTCTCTGCGACAGAGCTTTTACAAAAAGTCTTGATTAATCTTGGGGTTCTTATTTAAAAGACTATTCATTATTGTGGTGACTACTTCATCCTTGATAAGATGCTTCTGTCTGTTGAAGTAATTATCATGATGACTGTTTGTATAGCGATGAGAGACTTACACCTAGCTGAAAGGACGCTTGCTATCTGAGTTCTTAGAAAACTTAACTGTCTTGGTGTTGGTATTCATGAGACTCTGAGTGTATGGAGTGATTTAATTGGCATTCTATTAAGACATGAGAGTAGTTTATCTCTAATCAGGAGATACGGTAGAGCCTGGACGATAGAAGGGAGCAATAACTGTTGTATTTTTATGGAGATTACTATTGGAAACTTAAGTTTTTTAGTGCATGAGAATGCCAGTTATGATTCCTTTAGTTGACATTTTATTTTTATAAATACTGTTGTTTAGGTTATTATTAATTATGCTCAGGAATTTATTTATATTGTAATTAAATTCAGTTTCTATTGTTGAGACTAGGGGTTTTGGGGTTTTGGGGTTTTGGGG